TTCGCCTGGTACGGAATTTCTTTTATCACATATTTTTGAGCCAATGCTTTCTGAAGAGCACTCACTTAAACTCTGTTGACCTGATTATATTGGGTTTCAGCGCATCGCATCATCACTACCGTAAACGGTCTTTTTTAATTTGTCTCTTTTGCAGATTGAACTTAGGTTTGAATTGTGAAACGTTGATTAGCCTTGATAGAATTGGAACACAAGTGTAGACGACGTATAAACATAGGTTAAAATCCCTGTGAGCCACCTGAACATTCAAAAATTCAAAGGTTTCTAAGTTTGTGAACAATCCTGTTTAGCTACTGTCCACATAAGCTCTTTCGCACTGCGGCAAAATTTGTTTCCGGATGTGTTTGGCTTGGTGTAGCTTGAAGTTCAAAGTATATTGCGAACACAAATCTGTTGTATGAAGTAAAGTAAAGGAAAACAAAAAGGTTAGCCCAGAGGAGAGGAGTCAACGGTCAAATAGTATTATTATGCTTTCGTATGCGAGGCTGTAAATATTTCCATTTGTGTAGCATTCTGTGAGTCACTGTAAAGCACCCGACCAAAATTTAGGATCGATGTGACTCATTGAGAAGCGTTTCACAAACGATATTTGCAGACAAGGTAATATTCATAAAATACGAAATTGTGATCTCCCTTCAACAACGTATCATACTGATTGAGTACTTTATCTTTGATATATTTATGAAAAATACCTCACTCTCAGCATGATATCGGTCATCTAGAATGAGATTTGCATCCTGCGGGTTGCAAACCTATTCTTTTGTGGTAAATGATTAGTGGACTGCGGCACATCCCAGATCTAGAGTCAATGGCGATCAGACTGACTGGTTGCTAAGGAGCTAACAATCCCGCTCATTGGTCCTTCCCCCTTTTGATTCATCAGCCAAAGGTACACGAAATTGGGTTAGCTCTCTAAACTGTAAACAAGTTTTTTTGTTGATTTTGGGAGGTTTTGTACACCATACTCACCACATTTTGTGAGAATATCATTTAGTAGACGTACCTTTAACACACGGGTCATTCTTTCATTGAAAAACAAACGAATGGTTCACTTAATTTGATATATTCGGTTAATTAAATGACCGTCGGAAAAAGGAATGTCACTAAATGACAGCCATTGTCAACATGCCCTCATAAACTAATCCGGTACACACGCCGCACTTTGAATGAAAAATAATCGATTTAGATATTGTTACTTGAAGTTACTTGAAGTGCTTTCACTAGGACCCACATTTTGTTGTCCGACTCGAAAAACTAAACACTTGGATCTGGAGGTTGAGTTTGAGAATCTATATTCCCAAATGTCAGATCTTGTTCCGCATTCATCGCCAGATGTAGAAGAGCTGAAATCTACACTAGTCAACACCTGCTATAAACACTTGGGCAATAGACCGTCGCAACAGAGTTAGTAACCGCACAACACCGGGAACGGTTGAACAGGTTGAAGGAAAACCGAGATGTTATACCTTCGAGACCAGATAAAGGCGCCGGAATAGTCCTTCAAATCGATCAGACTATATCAACAGACTGAACAGCATACTCAGCGACATCGGAAAATTTCAGAAAATAGCCGGGGAGAAAGATAAAACAGAACAAATAGAAAAGTTACTGTCGAAAACGCCCCGGTGTCTCAAACAGAGAGACAATAGATACTACTATATTTGATCAACTCCGGCCAAAAGGAACGACGACCCCGAGACTTTATAGCTTACCGAAGATACATAAAAATGGAGTGCCTCTCCGACCGATTTAAGATATGTTTAACTCCCCTTACCATGCCTTGGCTAAGTGGCTGATAGCGATCCTGGAACCCGTGAGAGCAAAACTCGCCAATCACATATTAAAGGATTCCTACTACTTAGTGGCTAGTATTAACGACAAACCTAAACGGAATACGCATGTTATCACTCGACGTCGGTTCACTCTTCACTAACGTTCCCATTGATGAAACTATTGAATACATATGTGGCTACATACAAAGTAATAATTGTGAAGTTGGAATGCCAGTTGGTGATCTCAAACAATCACAATACCTTTGCACACATAATGTACAATTCAAATTCAATGATGAAGTATATCGCCAAATAGATGGAGTAGCAATGGGATCTCCTCTGGGTCCATTGTTCGCTTATATCTTCATGGCAAAGCTGGGGAATAACATCCTAAAACGAACAATTGATCGTTGCACATTTTAGAAGCGCTATGTGGATGACATTTTGTGCTTTGTCAATGACAGTGTGCATCTGTCAAGACTCTTGATAGTATTTAATTCAGCTCATCCAAACATCAAGTTCGCTCTAGAGAACGAAGAGAATGAGCAGCTTACATTTTTGGACGTTCTACTAAGCCATCGATCAGATGGAACCTTCCAACGCGCCATCCACAGGAAGTGGTCGTAGAACAATTAGTATATCCATTTCAAAAGCGGTCTTTGGAACGGAAAAGAAATCTCATTCATTGCCTCGCTACCCGGGCGCAAAGAATATGTACGGACGATACCATTGATGCAGAACTGGGGTTTAGTCTAGATGTTTTCCTTCACAACGGATACCCCTGCGATTTGTGGACAACATTCTGGGTCGTCACCGGTTTCCAAATAAGACCATCACTGCGGAGAAGAAACCGGTTTACATATGGCTACTTTCAAGGGCGACAGGACTGCCGATATGATGACACGTAAGCTCTGTACAGTTGTAGAAAAAGCATTCCCCACGGCTAAACTGCGTATTATGTTCGTCTCCAGGCCGCTTCTGCGCTTTCAACTCAAAGATAAATTGCCTGTTTCTGCCATCTCTTTNCATATGGCTACTTTCAAGGGCGACAGGACTGCCGATATGATGACACGTAAGCTCTGTACAGTTGTAGAAAAAGCATTACCCGCGGCTAAACTGCGTATTATGTTCATCTCCAGGCCACTTCTGCGCTTTCAACTCAAAGATAAATTGCTTATTTCTGCCGTCTCTTTCTGTGTATACCTATTTACCTGTTCCTGTGTGGCAAGGTACATTGGCCGCACGAGCAGACGTTTATCTGAGCGAGTCCGTGATCATCATCCGGCCTGGTTGAACAGTGCAGTAATTAGGACCATCAACAGCTCAATCGTTTCACACCTAGTGGAATCAAACCACGTAATTAATGTGGCCAAGGCGTTCCGTCCCCTCTACTTGGTTCGCACCCGCCGATCTAAGAGGATTAGGAGTCGNGGTCTTCCATGGTCAACACCACACACGACACAGCCATCCCCCCCCCACCCGCCCCTAATGACCCAAACAAGTGCGCATGTGTGAAGACCAAAGTGTGAGTGACATCCGGTCATGGAACTGGAATGTTAATTATCTCTTTCCAACTTGTCTTGATCTCTCCCGCCCCCCTTCCAAACAGTGTGATATAAATTGTGATGTATTAGCCTGCAGAAGAATCACCGCAAACGAGCTTGTTCGTTACTTTGCGTTTTCTCACAATGGTATATTCGGACGATTTCAGTATTTTATAATATTCACAAGACTGTAGGAAACTGTTTTTGCATGTGAGGTTGGCCGCCTAAAATGGTGTAGCTATGTGACGAGAATAATCACAGTGCGTACACATTCTTGACAATAGTCACCTCTGTGCGAAATAAGATTTCACCTCCCTCGACCATTTACCTCACAATCCATTCAATTCCTTAGGTTCAATCTGAATTGTTATTATTCTGGAGGGATCCATGTTCTTCGCCATTGTGTTCGTATATAAAGTAACGTTTGTCTGTCCCCGCACCAAAAGACACAAAAAGAACTGAATTAGAAGAACATAGACAGTAGTAATAGTAGTAATAGAAGGAAAGCTCTGGAAACCACCTCGCTAAATACGTATATATGTACTGGCATGGAACAGGTTGTAGATAATACATACTGTGCTTGTCAAGGAACAGGAAAGGTTTCCAAGGATAAACAGGGGGATTTGTTATATTGATAGTAGTGGTATCGTGGATTGTGATTGAGAAGTCGCCCGGATATTTTGTCCCACAGACATATTTGCAGTTAGTACAGGAAAACGGCGGGGGGGGGATCAAAGGGAGGCCGGTAAGAACAAGAGCATTTAGCAAAGTAGAAGGCGTTCGTGGCGGACGAAGTTGCACTTGTGGAGGGAGCTGTCGATGGTATTCTTGTTTAATCACTAATTGTTACGCACGTGGGGATGTAGAATATCGCATATCTACGATTAGTTTAGAAGAAATACAGTGAAATTGATCATTGCTAAACTTGATTCATTACACGTGTGTGTGCTCGGCTTTGTGCAAATGCTCGTGAATTGAATTCTCAGGCTGTTCACAATGGAATTATCCGAAAAAAGAGAAGGATAAAGTAGACAGGAGGACTGGAGGACACAGGAAAACACACACTTCATCAAGAGATTGTATTGCCGAATAAATTAAAAACGCGATCACAGAGATAAGCTCGCAAGGCATAATTTTCGAACATTGTCATGCGAGAAAGAGGGATTGAGTGAGTGTCTGTAATCTCAGAAACAGGTGAATCAGGCATGGTTGGACTGGAATAGGATGAACTTGAATGTGTGGTTTGGTCTCGTGTGGTATGTATATCCTGGTTAAAGATAAAGATGCGAAACAGTATTAAATTGAAGAATAAGCCACTGTCGGAAAGAATAAATTCAACGTGGAATAGGCGAACCCGACAGCAAAAATAAAGAAAATTGAGACACGTTGAGAAAGAGAGAAGAACAGTTAGAAGAAAAGAACATGATCAGGTAAAAGATAGGCTGAGGAACGGTAATTGGAGTAAAAAAAGGGACGGTAGTGGGCAGAAGGGGTTTTGTGAGCGACATGAGAAACCGTGATAAAGTGTTTGGACTCGGTCAGATCCGTGAGTTCTATTGATCATAGTCTGCAAATCATCCGTCCTGTCTGCTAACCTTCTGCATGTAGCAATCAACAGGTTTGCTTTGAAAACGGATATTGCAAATCGGATCCGACCGAGTTAAAGCTATACAGCACTAGTACCGCGATTTACATTTTCCAAGAACCGATTGATGTCCTCCTCGGTTCCAGTAATCTTGGCATGTCGATAATTGCTCCACAATGTGGCCGTGACATCCAGTGCTATTAAGTCACTGGACACGCGGGATACGACTTGCAATATTAACACACCATCCGGACCAAGATTATTATTCACAAAGCGTGTACAATCACGTTCCTCGGTGTTTGACAGTTGCCGTATCGCGCGTATGTACTGTTTGATATAGGCCACACGTCGTACGGGAAGGAGAGTGTTGAAAGCCCAATGGATTGTGCTCAGTATGGTCACACAGGTGAGGATAACGAACCAGAACCAGAGGAATACGTAAACTTTCTCGACAAAGTAGTTAATGGGTAACACGCATTGTAATGTGTAGCTGAGAAAGGAATAGGGGTGAAAGGTGGAATATGAAACGTGTTTAACCATTGATCAATTATAATTGTGACACTTATCTGGATTAATCAAAAATGTCCAGAATAGTGAGCATAAGGTAAACAACTTGATTACTTTTATAACATAGACAATAGTTCAAATACGTTTCTCAAAGTATTACTTATCAACCATCCATTTTGGAGTAAATGTTATCACGTTTAAACTATAAGTGCGTATAATCATATAAATGCACGGTGCATGATAGCATTATCTCAACAGAGCGCACTGACGATTTAATGACAGTAAAAAGACATATTTTCCTGCTCGCATGTTTTGGTAAAAAACAGAACAGAACCATATTCGAATATTATGTTCCGTTCAATGAAATCGCTAGAAGTAAACAATGTTTTCAATTGACCGCAGACAAGGAATCGGTTTACGATAAGCTTTAGTGATGGTTATAGGCTTCATCGAAACACCATCTGGGATACTGAATACGGTCTGCATTAAAAGGTATAGTGATAGTAACTGGTGAATGTTTGCATTCTTTGCGAAGCAAATAATATAAAACGCAAGAAATGGCCGCAAAGCACTGAATAACTTGCAAAAAACAGTAAACTGAGGATTTATTCAAATAGTTTTCAAATATGCCAACATCGAGCTTCGATGGTGTTTTCTTTAGAAGCACCATTTGATGATCGAACATGCAGTAAGTAAACGGGATCTATATATCTTCTGTCAGGAAGGATTGTGAACCGAACAGGTGGCTGTTCTAGCTTAACGCAAATTATATTCCGCAATATTAAATAGGCTATTTGATTGAGAAAATTAGACCGCAGAGGCGAAAGTATTTATTTAATAAGACTGATTTCATATCTGTGAAAGGATGTTTTACGAAGCAGAACATTCTTTAGCCAGATTCCTTACGTATTCGTCCGTTTCTGAACCTGTATTCCAATCCTCGACTGAGCGACAATTTCAGAAGAGTTTGTGTAGTTTCTCTAATTAATCGTACGACTGCATTCAATAATTCCCGATTTCTCTTGACGACCACTTAGGAGTTGGAAAGAGAGATATGCACAATAACAGTATGATGGAATATGTGAATCGTTTTGGAAAAATCTGCGTCATTATTAGCCCCTTGTATGCAGCATAAATGCTACTTTACAGAAAACAGGTAGTATATCTTAAATGTACTTTCTTGAAACAGAAAAGCTTTTTCTTTGTGGAGAATTCCTTAACTATTCCAGTGAATTTCGTACTTAGATAAATGTATACAGAAATGGTGGCGCCTGAGAATGATGCACAGCTAGTTAATAATTCATATCAGACAAACGAAAATAGACGCCACAGAGAACATTTACTGTCGTATTAAAACCATTATTTGAGACAAGTTTTTTCATTTAAAAACAAACATTCTTCATAAAAACCTACGACAATGTAAAGTTTTGAAAAAATCCGTCGTTCCAAATTATATTTGGACAAAATACTTGGGACCCTCAAACAAAAGTAGAAATTGCATGTAAATATGCTGTTGCTTCGGTTTGTATAAGTAATTGCTTGATTGAACTGCAGTGCTTCACCATCGCTTTCATAAGTGTAGAAGTGCAGGTTTTGCTGATGGCAATACTATTTTAGTAGGTTACTGGTCGCTTGAAAACCGTAAACAGTGGTGATCAAAATATTTAAATTTATCATCATGGTTAGACCAAATTGACTTAACCGGATCTGTACATTTGGGACGTAATCAACATCTGTCTGTGTAACCCCGTAGGCAATATGGCTCCAATGGTCAACCCACAGACAGATGACCGGTCCTGAACCACCCGAACAGGTAGCAACCAGACCGCGGTGAAACTCGAATCAGATGTAAGGAACAATTAATTTAACTTATTTTGTCGTACAAACTACCATATGTAAGCACTTAAATTCACTATATCGTGTATTCAACGTGAAAAAAGAACCTGTCTCCAACTTGGCGTTTTTACTGTGTGTCGGTTTAGAAGTCAACCAGATACAACATATTTGCACAATAAGCTAAGTGTCGGAGAAATTCGCAAGACACCTTAAGCTGTTACTGGAACAAATCAAACAGTCAAATTATCTTTTTGTCTGTCATCGTAGCACACAAAGATTCCAAGACACGAATTAATAGAAAAATCTCCGTAGCTTAAGGGACATCGATTCATTTGTTACGGGTTGTCGGCGTTCTGCCAAAATTTGGTTTGATTACATAGTGCGAAGTGATTCGGTAAGCGATAGACCCAGGTTTTTCATCCTTCGGAATGTCACTTGTATTTCGCTGTAGAAATGATTGTGTTTGAATTTATACTGTATCATGGACGAGAGCGCAGGAAATTGCCCGAAATGCACTATTTTCCCTAGGATTCTCTATTTTGTTTGAAATAAACAGAATATAATATATTAATTTATATTCAGACTTGGTGTTCGCTTTCTGTTAGGTAAGTGTTGTTTATCTGCTGACATTTGCTTGATAGTACTTAGAAGTTCATCGGTGGAGATCGGTGAAGACGGCAAACCTTGGATGTTCAACGCAAAGGCAACACACGTATTAAATTCAGTTAGACAGACAGTGAAATAAAGGGGAAGGGGACGGACGGGACTGAATTCTCTTGCGGTCAGTTCTGAATTACCTCTCATTGCGAACCGTTCATTATTTTTTATTTAATGTTAAATGCATCTCACGATATACCTTCACTTCTATCAAATCTTTGTACTCAGGTAAGAAAGCCTTTGAATTCCATTTGATTCATTCCTTTTGTTCCTTTTTTTTATACCGTGACATATTTTGGAAAACGATTTTCCCAAACAGGATTGCATGTTAAAAAATTATGAGAATACTCATCAATTGACATGTTCACTCCATACAAAATCTATTAAATGGATTATTTTAGATAACGGTTTTTCACCTGTATGTCAACAACACAAATTCAGCATTAGGCCAACCCAATGCGAGTTTACCAGATATTGGTTTTCTTATTCCCAGTAGGTCACTTGGACAAAGAAGAAGAAGGACCTTTCCTGATTTTTGCCTACCAGGTAGCAGGGAAAACGGTAATTGGCATACATTTGCCTCATTGAGAACAACACAATTCATGTAGGATTTTACAACAGGAATCGCCGTATAAATTTACGTCGCTTGTCACGTCGTGCAATAATGATGTGTTTATTTATTCATGGTTCTGCTTTGCATGTATCAACATAAGCAATAAAAAATCTAGTTCTTTTTTTGTTTAAAGATACATGCATATTTACACCATGTATGAGGAGGTAGAGAACACCAACTCGAGGGAAGTCTGTAAAAACGCCAATTGGAAGAGGCATTCAAAGTAAGCCTTATGCCTACCCATCTAGAGGCTTTCGTGCACAAACCCATTAGCACCTATGCTAAATGTGAGATTCCAGTCGATTACAGATTCAGCGATTACACTCTCCATCCCCATTTTATGCAGTCAGAGCAGCCTTAAAAAAAACTTGCAATTCACAACTACACATGTATTTGGTAAGTGATAGCCAGCAGATTCCTGGCAAATATACACCTAGATTTTAGTGTTACGCAAAAGATTGTTTAACCATGGAGAAACATTATTCAAAATGTTACCACATTTCTTGTTTTTTGTAGAATTGACCACGCGTCAATCACTTCCATCATACAAATACGTATTATGCACACCGATGAACAGGCAAACCGCATTTACCTGGGCGTCTGCGGCAATGTCCTTTAAGCATTTGAAACGGACAAAATACAGGAAAACCTATTGATTCTGAATATTCTATTCTTAGAAAAAGCAGATCAGTTTGGGTATGAAGAAAAAATGTGTGGAAAATACCATCCATTCACTACAAGGTTCATTTGCTTGGGACATGAAAATACGGTTAATGATGACCTGGTCTACATGGAAAGATTGCATGAGATTGCACCGCTCGTTATCTGACAGTTTAGCATAAAAAACTGGTTATCGAAATAGATATGGAAATTTCTACCCGGTTCGTGAAACTTATCTGCATGAAATATAACTGCGGTTGCAGCAGCCACGCGGGGGACACTGAACGTGACTGATGGTTTGGGCATTTGAATACTACCATATTCTAGGCTATTGATAATATGGAAACAAACTTTCCTAATCTAACTACGATAAAATACAAATCAAATCCCATTACAATCATGTTGTTTAGATCAACAACGTTTAGAAGTTGCCTTGGTTTTATATTTGTTGGATATAGTTGCATTTATCCTAATGTTAAAGTTCGTCTTGATACTTCAGCGAATACGGTTCATTTTGCATTTCCTGGAGCCATTCACATCAGCTATAATCGGTTCACGATGCACATATTGGAACCAGAGTTTTCTAATTTATGTACAAGGTGTATAAAGAAGACAGGTTTAGTGAATTTTATTAACAAATGCCGATTTGATGTGTGCCTTATTGCTCCAAAAGAAACTGAAATTCCAATGATAGAAAGGTAGAAAACTCATCCCGTTCCCAAATTTAGGTTCATCATTCATTGTCAATGCTACTCACCTAATCGGGATAACTGCTATCATTCACGGGAATGAGGTTTGAAAATCCGGTAAAAGTGGTTTTATTTATCTCCGACAGCATAACTCACTCAATTAGTATCGAAAGCTCAGGGCAAACCCATGCTCCTTAGATAAGGTGAAACACTCTGTTCAAAAAGGTTCATAGACTGACAAATGTAAATAACTTCACAAAGAGACGTTTATTGGTGTGTGAGCGTTTTAGAACAAGAGCCGACTCGAGGGCGACGCTGGAAGTAAGGCGCTTCTTTTGTCTGTCAACGTTTGTCGATCTAAACGACTCATTTGTTAAACTATTCAATCTACCACACCACTTCATCCACTGACAATTGTTGTCGACACGCAGAATTAAAATGTATACCGTTTTCCAACTGAATCGACACAAGTTCTTTTGAAATTCGGAACCGCCCAACAGTCCACTCTTCAGTAGTACTCCATTTAGGTTACTTATCAATTAAACATACTGTGGTAAAACAACCATTAGCTGTATTTCAAAGTCCCTCTCAAATACCGGTATATATAAACACAAAAATCACACTTATCAATGATCATAATTATTACGAACCACGTACTTATTTGCAATAAATCTGCTGACAATTAAAAATAAAACACGTGAAACTGCAACACGTTAATGAAAAACGTAAAATTGGTTCATTTGTGCCTGTTCTCCAAACTAGGCAGTTGGCCTGTAAGCGTTTTGACCGCAGATGAGATGACATCTGTGGTGCTTGTGAAACATGATATGAAACAGATACGGGTGTTCAAAAGTTACTAAAATGGTAAGATTAGAGATAATTGGAAAATCTGTTGTTCCTACAACTATTAGTTCGTCGCTCAAACCAGTTTAAAACCCTTAGGCTTTCCTAAGGCATTCTACTAGTTTCAGATGTGAGATGACACTGAGCGATGGAAAGGGATTGCACAGGTACGATAATCTCACACTACTGTATAATCACTCATAGTACATTTAAATTGGTCCATACGGTGTCCACAAACCAGGTTGTTTGGTGTACTCAAATGTCTTCTGTTCCGTTATGCTCACCAGCNCCATCATCAGTGTGACCAGAAAACAATCAGAAACCATTACCAACGTCACACTGGCCAACAATACTAAAACCTACATCTTCAACGTAATAACAGTAACAATTTTGTTTTCCGCACATATTTCAACTAATGTTAGAAAACCACTTGAATAACGCTGCATCCACTAGAAGCAAGTAAAAACTACTGTGCTTTGTTGAATCGGTATCATGACTTCTGATAACGTAGTGCCTTCATTTCAGGGAAATTTGGTACTATTGACAAAACCGCAGTTAGTTCTCGAAGAGTTTCAGAAAATCTGCAAAACTCTTTTCTTTGTGCACCAAAATGTTTGCTAGGGAAGAAGCCGTATGGTCACAATTTGTGGTCATACGTGAGAGACCAAAACGGTATCAGATTGTGATAGACGGATGTGAACGACGGAAATTCGTGTGCAGTGGATTTGTGTAATCCATAAGAATTCTATGCAAACTTCCCACAGGCAATCAAATGACGCTCACACGTATTGGTTATCAACTACTTCGGTGGAAGAAACATGCTCGCGGATGTCCAGCTAGACCGAAGCAACCTAACCGAAAACATATTGAATAAGTTGGAGAAAAAACGTCTACGCTGATGAAATATCTGTTGTCTTGAAGAAGTCGGAGCTAGACTGAACACGGAATCATCATCAATGCGTTTCAGTGACTTCGGGTTCACAATAGTATATATGCGGAAGAACAGCTAGTAGGCATTCTTGGATATATTGGTCACCAGATTGCCGTCAGGAAATCTGTAGATAATTGTCCGCTTTAAAGCAAGTATATCGATCAACTCTAAAACTTGAAAAGTAATTTTTCACACACCCACAAATGGTGCTATCTTAGGACCATATTTGATAAGCTACATATTCGATAAAGCCACACCCTTCACTTCTTCAAAATAGCTCAGACTCGAAGAAGGAAACAAATAACAAAGATTCAGGAACAATAACAACCCTGTTGTACCTCAAGAACGATTTGCAGGTGAGAGCAAGATCATAAGGAAACAAAGTCAATCATAAACAGACCGCGCGCCTATGAATAATTCTTTCAAAGTCGAAGGGAAAACAGTGGGGAAAAACAAGAGCAACGCTATCAAAACGAAGCATTATATTAGGAAAACTTCAGGAAAACTGTCAAAAATCCTTGAAAATCAATTGACAGTCTGGATGCATGAACTGCTATCACTGATTCTCATCGCAAAGATCAAGAAGAACATCAAAATGGCTTCCACTCAGGAAGATTCATTGATCAATCTCAGTCAAAACACGCAGGGGAATCTCTCGGGGTTTTAAGCTCTTCAATCAACTTAGTAAACAGACACATTGAATTGCATTAGATATACACGCCAATGCAAATCGACGGTGCAATGTTGAATTAAAAGTTGACGTTCTCAACCAAGACAGAACCAAACACCACAAAACAGAAGGAAAAACAATTCCACCTTCTCCCTTTTCCTCAGAGCTAGTTCAATGGCGATCCAGGTAGGATACAGTAAGAGCATGGTACAAAAATAGCTGTTGGAAGGGGACATATATAAGAGGACGGGTAAAAATACACTGCCAATACATAAGCAGTGATAATGCCACCTATGTTAGTGATAAAATGTTTAAAGTTGTTACCAGACTCGGCGAACAGAGGAAAATGAAATAACCTTTCCATAAGAGATCCGAAAAAGCGGATCATTAAGGTAACATGTAAGGTAACATGGTTGTCTCACAAATTAGAAGTTGAACGGTTGTTAGTTTTTAAAATGACAAATTTCACGTGTGATGTGAAAGTCGTGCACGATTAGTGACGCAATGTTGAATCTGAGATATCCCATGCCGATTTGCATGGATGAACACCCCAAGTATTTGACAGAGCTTAACTGAAATACCGGTTCAGAGCTAAAGAATATTACATTATATGAGAGGGAGAAGAATTCGATTAAGTAGGGAGATATTTGAAACACTTGGGGAAATTAAGAGAGAAACTATCCGTAGTGGGGTACGCTAACAAAGCTTGTTTTCGATAACTTCCTCCTCAGGATAATACAGTTATATATAGGCTTCTAAATTGTTCAACTATAGTGTAATGGTCTGATGTGAGGAAAACCTCCAACGCTCCATTTCCAAACGACATATTGCAAGATTCCAATCAACCAATCATTTTCATCACATCAAACCATTACACTAGTCGGACAGTTTTGAACTATATGTGTAATTGTGTTAGCCCGAAGAGGAAGTTTCTGTTTGCTACAGTGTTTTCTTAATATCGCGCTTGGCATATTTAATCGGTTAAGCGTCAGATAATTGTAAAAAGCTCAAAATGATTCTAAATGGCTTGACATAGAAACTCTTGTTCCATGTGTTCAAATTGTGGTGGTCAGCAGGCAAATAGCTAATTTAGGTAGAAAATAAGTAAGGTAACAAGGAACGAATCTTAAAAAGCTGCGGAGTTCATGATCTTCTTCCTACCCAGACTGAGGCACCGAGTTCTCCCAGGTGAGTAACGAATAAGCCAGGCGAAGATGTGTTTCGGACAACCGAAGGTCCCAGGGATACGAAAAAGAAGTGCGTGAGTAACAGAATTCAGTAGTCAGGAATCGCACAACTTACAGCTTCCGCAGAACCACGTAAGACCAGCTAATCTTATGGAAACGTTATTCATAATTTGAGTGTGAGTATTGTTTTTTTTATTCGATTGTCTGACTTTTGCACCTATAAACAGAAGAGCTGACGAAAGGGATGCATTCCAACATAGGCAAGTTTACCACTATATGAGGTTGGCGTAGTAGGCTTACATGCTAACTGGTGGATGCGATATACTTCTTTAAGTTGGATGGATAATTTGAATTTGAAAAGAGCAGTGCTATCAGTGTGGTCTCGTAGCTCAGCTGGTAGAGTATGCTCTGCACAAAAGCGTCCATGCGTGGGTTCGAATCCCACCGAGGCTACTGAACTTTTCACAATTGATATAAAAAGATCTCATATGACAGACAAAAACAGACGTGATTTCCATTCATGTTTGAACGTCAGTGCTAAACAACCTCAAATCCTAACTGCAACCAAAAGTTCCATTATCGGGCCCGATATTCCCTCCAGTTCGACCAGATTGGATCAACATGCATTTACACTTATTGATTTCGGGTTATTCACATACTTTCATTTTTCGACTGTTTGATGTGCGAAAAGTGAATTATATACACCAATGTGTCTTCGTACTCTCTGAGTGATTTTCCGAATAAAAAAGTCGTCGGTGATCACAGAAGGACAAACGCTTCAAGATAGATCCCCAAGCGTTTATGTCACCGAAACGATGAACTGTTTCATCTCAGTTGAAAGAAACTTATTCAGGGTTAGAATAATTTTTTATTATTGATGTACAACAACCAACTCATTTGCTTCCAGTCACAGTAGAATGGACCAGATCTTTTGGAAACATTTGATCTATGGATGACCTAGGCGTAAGCAGTCAAAATATGCCGACAACTAACATTCTTAGGTAACTTGGTATTGCTCTACCTCATAATATGTGATGCTTTCCAAGGTGAAACCGTTTTCTCAAAATTTGGCATGTTTCTGTGGCAGTTACGCAGATAGTAACCTTCACATTAGGAACTGCTTGTATTATTCGCCAGTGACTGTACTTATGAGCTGTACATTTCCAAGGGGTTGAAAGAACGGATAGTGTTCTATGGTTTCCGCACTTCACACTCCTTTCTAAACGTGGTGTAAACATAAATATCTCGGTTCACATTGGAAGTATTTCGGTGGTGGCTATTATTGGGGACGCTTTTTGATGGAAATCATCGGTTCTATGAAGAAGTGGGTGCACAGAGTTTGAATTGGAGTTACCAATAGTGTCAACACCCTTGAAGAGCGTGTGTAACGCTTGGTAGTATTGGTTTATCGTGAGTGCTTAAATCTCACTGAACCCTTTTGGTTCATAGCGTGTTTTGCT